TTTGAAAGGTGGAGTTACAGAGAGAGGTAGAGAGAGAGATAGAGGGGTCTTCCATCCAATGGTTCACTTCCCAAATGGCTACAATGACCAGAGTTGGGCCAGGAAAAGCCAGGATCCAAGAGCTTCTTCCAGATCTCCCATATGGGTGTAGGGCCCCAAGGACTTGGGTCATATTCTGCTTCTTTCCCAGACACAGTATCAGGGAGCTGAATCAGAAATGGAGGAGCCAGGGCTCCAAATGGTACCTAAATGAGATACCAGCCCTGCAGGCCAGGGCTTTAACTCTCAGTGCCACAGTGCTGGCCCCATACCTATCTGAATATTAGGCAAAATATACTTTAAGACAAATCTGTTAAAATAGACAAAGAAGATTATTATGTAATGATTAAGGGATCAATTCAACTGGAAGATTTGACTATAGTAAATGTAAATGAACAAAATATTAACCCCCCCAGTTAGTTAAAATAAAAATTAATGGATCTAAAGGGAGACATATATTCCAAAGCAATCATAATTAGTGATTTCAATACCCCACTTTCGTCAATAGACACATCACCAGACAATACAACCAAGAAAGCAATGAGGTTAATCTACACATTGATCCAAATGAATCTAATTCATATCTACAGAAGAATCCATTTCACAGAAGAAGAATACACAATCAGGGCATGGGACATTATCTGGAATAGATCACATGTTTGGGAAAAATTTTCAACAGATTAAAAAATTATACTATATATATTTCTGACCACAGTTGAAATAAGCTGGTAATTAATTGTGATGGAATGAGGTGAAAAGTTCATGCCAAGCTGGCCACGAGGTGAAAAGTCATGCCAAGATGGCTGCTGACAACAGAAACTGCCTGGCAACAGGCCGTGATTGGATGGCCTTGGAAACCACATGGCAACAGAGGAAACCACATAACAACAGAGCCTGACCGACGGCAGGCTGTGATTGGATGGTTTCAGAAACTGCCTGGTGACAAGAGCCTGACTGGCAACAGGCTGTGATTGGATGGCTTTGGAAACTGCCTGGCAACAGGCTGTGATTGGTTGGGGCCTAGACCGCCCCTTGACTGGATTGGCTGGTCTGGGCTATATAAGCTGTTGTACTAACTCAAATAAACGAATCTGCAGGCTGCTCGCCTCAGGCCTGCTTTCACCTGACGCCTGGAGTCTGTGTGGTGACTCCACACTCTTGCCCCCACCATGTTCCTCTCAGAAACGAATCCACTGCAACATTGTTGATAAATCAAATGCAACAATTTATAACACAAAATTCTAGAAAATATACAAAAACCTGGAGTCTGAACAACATGGTCCTAACTGAACAGTGTATCATAGAACTCAAAAGGAAAAAAAAAAAAAAAAAAACTTCCATGAACTAAACAAGAGATGTCAGCACATCAAATCAACATTTATGGGATATGGCAAAAACCATGTTATGAAGAAAGATTAAATAGCAATTAGTGCCTACATCATGAAATTTGCAATACATCTCCAAGACCTAGATGAACAAGAATAAACCAAACCCAATTAAGAAATAATAAAAATTAGAGAAGAAATATATAACATTGAAGTCAAAAAAGATACAAAAAGATCAGTGAAATGAAGAGCTGACTTTTTTAAACAACAATAAAGTTAATTAACAGTTAGCTTAAATCACCAAAAAAGAGAAGACCCAAATTAATAAAATCAGAGATGGAAATGCAGATGTTACAACTGATGCCAGTGAAGTGAAAAGAATTGTTAGAAATTATTTTATTTAATTTTATCCCAGCAAATTGGATATATAAGAAATGGATAGATTTGTGGACACATAAGCTATACCAAAATTGAGTATGATGACACTGAAATTCTAAATAGACCAATAACCAAGATGGAAATTGAACCACTAATAAAGACATTCCCAAGAAAAAAGTGAAAGATTTAATGGCTTCGTAGCTGAATTCTAATAACTTTTCATTAAACAATTTCAATGCTTTTAGAACTATTCAAAATAGTTGAAAGAGCGTGATTTATGTTTAACCCCTTTTACGAAGCCAGTGTCACCTTTATACTAAATCCCTAAAAAAGATACAACAAAGAGAACTACAAACTGATATTCCTGAAGAACACTGATGCAAGATCCTAAACAAGGTACTAGCTAAAGAAATCCAACAACACACCAAAAAGATTACACCAAGACCTGGTGGGATTTATCTCAGGGCAGAGATGGTGCACCATATGCAACTATTAAATGTTATACATAACATTAACAAATTGATGAGTGAAATCCAAAAGATTATCTCAATAAGTGCAGAGAAAACATCCTGTCATGATAAAAACATTAAGCAAAATCAGTATAGAAAGACTATACAAAACATAATCAAGTCAATATGTGAAAAACTTACAGGCAGCATCATATTGAATAAGGAAAATTGGGAAGCATATCCACTAAGATGTTGAAGTAGAAATAAGCACACTTTCATCATTGCTATTCAGTAAAGTTCTCAAAGATTTAGCAAGAGTCATTCAGCAAGAGAAAGAAATGTAAAATGGTACAAATTGGAAAGAAGAAACTCAAATTATCTGTTGTGGATGACATCATCTTATATTTATTGGAACCAAAGACTTCATTAAGAAAGTCTTGGAACTCACAAGAGAGTTTGTCAAAGTTGTAACTTATAAAAATCAACACAAATAGTATTTGTATATACAAACAATGCCGTGGCTTAGAAATAACACTAACCAAAACTCTTCCATGCCTTAAAATAAGTTTATGAAGGATGTGAATGATATTTAAAATAAAATTTACAAAACATTAAGTAAATAAATTGAGTAAAACACACAAAAAGTGGTACATTTTGTGGTTTGGAAGAATCAATGTAATCACAATGTCCATACTATGAAAAGCAATCAAAGTTATTCCAATCAAAATACCATCCTCCTCAGATCTAGATAAAAGCAATGTTAAAATTGATATGGAAACATGAATGATCCCAAATAGCAAAGAAAGGCCTTGTTTCATTATCGGTGTGAAAATATCCAATTTTCCCATCCCTTTTTGTTGAGAAGGATGTCCTTTCTACAGACAGTGATTTTAGCTCATTCATCAAAAATTCATTGTAGATGCATGTACTAATTTTGGGATTTCTATCTGTTTAATTGGTCTTCATGTATATTTTTGTGCTGTGCTAGTAGTAGGCTGTTTTGATTATAACAGCCATGTGGGTGTCTTGATGTCTGATATGGTGATGCCTCCAGCTTTGTTTTTGTTGTTTAAGAATCCCTTAAAATCAAGACTTCTTTTACATCTTATACAAAAATTAATTCACAATAAATCAAGGATGTAAATCTGTAACCTGATACCATCACATTACAGTATACTTAAATTATTTATGGTAAATTTTAATATCTGATATATGATATATCATGGTTTCTTGTATATTAGAATTTTTGTTTAATATTCCCTACATTGCCTATTTTGATATTTGTTTTTATAAGTAATGACAATAAATACAGCCAATCAATCAAGTTAATTCAAATATTTCAATTTGTAGTTATTTATACCATTGATAAAGTACAGACTTTATTAAAACTAATACTGACAAAAATAACACACATATAGTTAAAGGGTGCTCATTCCCTCTACACAATAAGGTAAAAATATAGAAGGAGAAAAACAGAATGATTGGTCTATTTCAGGGCAGATTTTGTCTTAGCAGTTAAGATGCCCATAACCCATATCAGAGTATCTGAGTTGCATACTGGATTAAGCCTGTCAATCCAGCTTCCTTGTCATGCAACCCTGTGAGAAAGTCTTGGAGATTCATATGGTTTGGTTCATGCCACCTTGATTCAGGGTTTCAGTTGGCCCTAGCCTGAAGCTGTTATAGAAATCTGGGAGAGACCCAAGGGATGTGAGAACTCTGTCAGTCTCATGGGATTCATCAATTAATTAAATCATTATTTAAAATGAACAGCCTTACTATGAATAAAAGTTTATAAATACAATGTAAAATTAAAATTCACTGGGTAAGAGGCGGATTGCTCTGTATATTCAGTTGAGAAAATTGGATGGGTATTTGACAATCATTCAACTCTGGTTCACATATATATTATATTTGAATTTTGATGTGAACAGTCATAATTGTTCCCAAGTGGCAGCTGCTAAGGATTATCAAACTGCCATGTTAATTGAGGATGGGTTTGCGTATACCTTTGGCCTGAATTTTTTTTATCCATTAAGAATTATTCTTCCACTTTTCAAGATTTATGTACCCAAATACATAAATTTCCATTTTAAAACAATAAGATGACTATTTTATATAAACCTATATGAACAAAAAATTGCAATGTTGAGAAGGCAACTTATTTTAGCCATTTAACCTTACCTTCAATGTTGTGTGTGTGTGCGTGTGTGTGTATTTTTCATAGGAGCAATTAAGCATAATGAAAATTACCAATAGTTAGGAATAAAATGGAAGGCACATATGAAATAAGGCAGTTGAAAATTAGCCACCAAACCACTCAACATCTAATCAATTATAAAGGAGAGAGCCAGACTTGGGAATTTTGAAATTGAAAAAGTTTTAAGGTAATCTTTAAGAAGAATAAAATGTATCAATACAAAATGGGGAATGCAAGGGAAGAGCCAGAAACGGGGATGAGAAAAACTTTACACTATGGTGATAAATGGTGGGCAACTGAGAAAGAAATCATTCTTACTATGTGTAAAAGGTAAATTAGGTTCTTGAAAGAGATATTTATTTTTGTGTGTTGAAAACTAATTTCTAGATCCTAATGGAGAAAAGTGTGTAACTGCTCTTTATCTGGTCTTTGCTCTTTATCCAATGGACATTACTCTGTCTTTGGTTGCTGCAAGTTGATGCAAGGGGCAATTAGCTGCGCTACCATAATAAGATTACTTGTGGTCTATCAGTGCAAAAGGTGGCCACTAGTATGCAATTTTTTATGAAAAACATGATTTTAATAATGTTTCTCTTGTTCAGAAAATACCTGAATGTCACTTTTCTGCTGCACTCTGTACATGTCAAGTGGAAAAAGTTGAATGGGTGCAAATTCAGGAGTTTTGTCCTTTGGTGTTCATCTGTAAGTAAGGATTCACTAAATGTAGATTAACTCTATTTTGCATGTGGTTAAGTATGACCTATGTTTTTGTTCATTTTATATTTTATGCTTTCAATTAAAATAATTAAACTAATCATAATTATTGGCTGTAGCATAATCATCATTGATTTACATGTAGTTTTCTACATTATACACTATATACTTTAAAAAATAATTTTAGACATGAACTCTCTATACAGGTTTACTGTTTATATATAACTGGCATATTTAAGCTTGCATTTGTGTAGTCTCTTATCTGAAAGCAAGTTATAGTACCATGCAGTAAAATAAACTAGAATTTGGTTGACTCAACAAATTTCAAATCAATATAATATGGTTTCATTCTGAAATATTTAAATAGAAAATACTTGAAAGTGATTAATGAGTAATTTGCATATATACATTTTATACTTTTTCAAAATATTTTATTTGAATAATACATGCCTAGTTTGACAGTTTTGACACTCAAATTCATAGTTGTTCCCAAATGTTCAACTTTTATAGAATATATTTTCTTTACAGAGTAATATTTATTTTTATAGATAATAGTTTAATATTTAATGATCAAAATATATTCGGGTACAGATATAGGTCTTCACACAAATAAAACTGATACCTGGATGAATATAGCTCTTATTACAAGTGGTCATGGACATTAATTCTAGAGATTGACTAACTTTTAAAGTGATTGAGGATTCAAAATTAACTGCAACAAAAAGTGCTTTTGCCAATGTAAGAGAGATGATAACATCTTGAGTATATCCATCCTTAAAGTAGTTGACAATGCCAAACATCAATTTGCCTCATCCTATCTTCCATGTATAACGATTAGTATGTTATTTTTGACATCACTTGTAGGTCATATTTCAGTATCCCTGAAATTGTAAACATATATGTTATCAGAATTGATTTTTTTTCCTGAGTATGAGGTGATTTGTAATATAGTAGGCTGTAATTTTAGTTAACATTTAGTTTATTTGCCATTATAATACCAAATCACATACATTTGCTATATTTAAGATTTTGCTAACAATATTTGAAGTTATATAAAGTTATAAATCTATCTGAAAGGGAGTTCAATCATTGGAGAAGCAGCAGGCCACTTTCTCACAATGCTATGCATATCAGATAAACACATGATGAAATGGAAGGCTAATGGATTAGTTACTAAATATTAGAATACTTAATTTCAATTGAAATTAAATAAAAAATAAAGTAAGCTATTTTTTTCTCTTGGGCTACAAGATTATTGAGGAACTAGTATAGGAGATAATTTATGATAAGATACACTTATTTGTTGAATTTTTGTTATTGGTTTATTTTTATAGGAGAATGTATTCTCAAATTATTGATTTTTGTTTGTTCATGATAGGATAGATGGAGTTATATTTGAAAATGAAAAAAGTTAAAATTATTGGCAAGAAAACTGCTAATAAACTTAAGATAAATCAGAACAACTTCTCATCTCCAGATCTGGGCCCATATGTATCAAAATGTACTCTTTTTCCCCACAAAGCAAAATGTGTAGGTAATTGCTCTCACTTTTTTATTAATTCTGAAAATGTTTCACAGCTAAGTTGTTGAATTACTCAAAAAATGTTAACCGCTCATAAGCCATTAGGTTTTAATTCTTCCCAATTAGTTTTTAATGAAGAGAATAATTTTAAATTTTTCTTCCTTGAATTCTTATGAGTGGAAAATAACATTAATCTCATTTAACAATTATGTATTTAACATTATTATCATTTCAATTGTAAATTAAACATACTGTTCTAAATATTGGTATTAAAATCTTGTATTTAGATTTTTACCTTGTAGATGAATAGTGATGGGAAAAAGAAATTGTGGAAGTTTGTAGACTATGTGGCACAGAATAATTTTACATCTAAGGACCTTTATTTGTGATGCTACACACTGTTAATAACTGAAAATGAAAAGAAATATGGTTACTTAGTTGTATTACATTACCTTCACAGATATTATCCTAATTGCTAGACTCTTAAAAGTTCCCATGTGGTAGAAGGAGATGAAGCTCTTTATTTTATGTATACAAACAAATTTAAGAAATTCAAGAAACTGACAAAAAGTCAAGTTAAACTAAA